CCCTCCCCTACCCCGACACCGGCTCGGCCCATGCCCCCCTTCCCCGGCTGGTTGCACGTGACTCCGGGCACACCCACCCCCGCTTTACACCCCTGCGGCGCTGGAAGGAACCCACTACCTGCCCCACCCTGCTCCATCCCGCTACGTCCTGCCCACGCCCCGGGGGTCCCAGGCATCTGGGCCCTCTCCCCTCCCAAAGGCCCCAGGCCCCTCTGCTCTCACCCCCCAGCTCCCCCCCAGAGGACAGAGCTCCCAACCCCTCTCCGTTCCCCCCTTGAGCCCCCAGAGAAAAGCATCAGCTGCTCCGCAGGGGAGGACAATGGGCCTCTGGGTGTCCGGGCTCCCACCCCTCCCTGCTCTCACCCCCCCACCCCGCACCCTCCAGGGGACCTAGGCATCTGAGCCCCCACCTTGCCTAGGTGCAAAGGACACATGTGCATCCATCCCAGACCCTGGGTTCTGTGTGTGTGTCAGACATCTGGGTCCTGTGTATGTGTATTTATGTACATGTGCGTCCGTCCTGGATGCCTGGGTTCTCTGTGCATGTCTGTGTGTGTGTACACATCCTGGACACCAGGTCTTGTAAACTCCCCCTGCTATCATCCCCCTGGAGTCACATGACACCCTCCCCTCCCCCTATTTATAGACCTCGCTGGTGCCTGACAGGGGCAGGTGGCTGGTGGGACAAATCTGAGCTCTGCCTGCCCCCAGAGCTGGCTGCATCTCAGCCCCAGGCCCAGGGGACCCTGTTCTATGCAGCCAGGACCCACCCAAGAACTGGCTGCAACTAGGGGCCTTGTTATACTCAGCCATGACCCACCCAGAGCTGGCCACATCTCAGTCTCAAGCCAGGGGGGGCCCTGTTACAATAAGCCAAGAGTCACCCCAGAACTGGCTGCATCTTGATCCCAGGCCAAGGGGACCCTTTTCTATGCATCTGTGCCCCACCCCTCTCCCAGGGCTGGCTGCATCCAGGGGCCTTGTTATTCTCAGCTATGCCCTACCCCAGAGCTGGGTGCATCTCAGTCTCAAGGCAAGGGCCCCATTACACTCAGCCATGACCCACCCCATGCTGGCTGTATCTTGGCAGTGGAAGAAGGGTCTGTAACGCCCATCCGTGTTCACCCCCAGAGGTGGCTGCATCTTGGCACCAGATGAGCGACCCCTTTTCTACCCAGCTGTGACACCCCCCCCCCCCCCCCCCCCGCCTCGGCTGTTGCCCCCCCCCCCCCCAGCGCCATCCTGGGCCTCATTGTATTCAGCTGTGACCCACCCCAGAAGTAGCTGCATTTTAGGGGCTATGACTGTCCCGGTGAGCTGGGGTTAGAGTTGACAGGGAGCCCAGATGCCTGGGTTCCTTCCAGCTCTGGGAGGGGAGCGGGGGGTGGCTGCCTGGGTCCCACCCTGGTCCCCCATCCCATAATACCCTTGATAGAGGGGCAGCCAGATCCACCTTCAATTAAGAGACTCAAAACCATCAGTTTATGCTCTGCCTACTTCAATCAACCTTTATTACACTGCTCTGGCCAATCAGGAACCCCCAGTGCTACCCCACTGGCTGCCACCCCCCACCTCCCAATGCACTCCTCCCAGGCAGTGGAAGGACTGCCTTGGGTGAGGACCTGCCCACCCCTCCCAAGCAGCCAATGTATGCAGAGCTGGGCTTCTATTGGCTGTTAGGCTGGGCTCCCCTTGCTTTCTGAGGTGGGGAGGGATATCCAATGAGGGAGAGGGGTAGGAAATCTGAACTTCTTATTGGCTGCAAGTGTATGCTGCCTTCTCATTGGCTGCAGCCTAGCAAGAGGAAAGAGGTGGGGTAATTCCCATGGGGTATCCAAACTACTGCTTGCCCATCGGCTGAAGTGACCACGAGCTCTGCCAATAGGAAGCAAGCCCATACCCCAGCTCCTTATTGGCTGCTTCCTGCCATGCACACTCCCCTCCCCCCTCACTTCAGCCAATGGTGGCTCTCTGGCCATCCCATTGGCTCAACAGAGCCAATGAGCAGAGCACCCCCGACCAACCTCCCCTTCCCATTGGCTCCTAAGTCACCCCGCCCTCTGCCACCCACCCCATTGGCTCTGGGGCTTAATGTGAGGGTGGCATGCCCACAAAGCCCTGCCTCTGTTGGGGCAGAAAGGGGGCAGGGCTTATGGGGCTCCAAGAGTGGGGTTCAGAGGGCAAGGGCCAGCCAGCCGAGGATGAGGAGGGTCCCGCCGATGGGCGCAGCACGGTTGAACCCGGGGTCGCCCGTCACTGCATGGTAGTAGAAAGCTCCGGAAAACAAGCCCAGGCCCATGGTCAGCAGCGAGCCAGTCTGGGGGGGCAGGGAGGGGGGGCAGGGACGGAACGCG